GGGAAGTACTATATCAGAATTGCTGGTAACGGTTTATATGCAGCTCTGAGCCTAATAACTTCTGTTGTGAACAAGATAGAAGCTCGACTAACGGGACCTTTGTGGTTCGCCTATGGTAGGGAGAACCAATAGTCTAGCTATTTTTGCGAAACGTTCTTAACCACCGCCATCAAATGTAGCGGGAAAGGTACAATATCAGGATTGCTGGTTGACGGTTTATATGCAGTTCTAAGCCTAATAACGTTTGTTGTAAGAAAGATAGAAGCTCTACTAATGGGACCTATTTGGTTCTGCTATGGTAGGGAGAGCCAATTGCCTAACTATTTATTTCAAGTGAAGCGTAGTATGAGATGAAAAAACACTCTAAAACTGCTGAAAAAACACTCTAAATGTTAAAATTTGAAATAAGTAAAAATATGTTAAATTTTAAACATTTTCTTAATTTTCTGAAAAAAGGAGTTCGGCTAATTCAAGGCTCCGAACCCCATAATTTTTGATATGATCAAGATACACAACTGTTTAAGAGGACCTTTTATGTTCTCCTATTCTAGGGAAAGCCAGTACCCTAACTATTTTTTTTATTTCGATTAGAAACTGAAATGTAAAAACTTTTCGAAAACTTTGAATGTGAAAATTCAAAAAAGTCCAAAAAAGAGAAAAAAAGTTTAAATAACCTGTCCAATGAAGCTTCCAATCGATCAAACAAGAGTCATAACACAATGGAATAGTTTTGAGAAGCTCTAGAGATGTTTTTTGTAAAAGGTCATTTTTTCCCTTGGGTGTCTAAATTGTCAACCGAGTTGAAAACTGAAGATTTGTAATTTCCAGCAGCCTCACGAAACAAAAAGTGCATTATTTCTGCTTAAAACCATCTACTTCATGGTAAATTTTCATTTTTAAGATATTTGATTTTTTGAACTACATAAATAAAGTTTTTTTTATAATTTAACAGAAGCAAACGGATCGATTTATATTGAACCATAGGTTCAGAGCGAGAAAGTTTTTAAATTGGTATAAAAGATATTGCTGATTATTTTTTTGAAAAAAAATTATTTTTGAAATTTTTATCTTTTCTATAAAATTAGACTAATTCGAGGTTCCGAACCCGATAAACTTTGATGTGATTAAGATACAAAACTGTTTAAGAGGACGTTTTTGGTTCTCCTATGCTAGTGCAAGCCAGTGCCTTAGCTAATTTTTAAATTCGATTATAAACTGAGATGTAAAACTCTTCAAAAATTATGAGAAAATTTGAAAAACTCAAAAAACATGAAAAAATACAAAAAATGGAAAAAAAACTCGGATTTTTCGTACCTTGGATTTTTTGTACCTAACTGTCCAATGAAGCTTCCAATCAATCAAACAAGAGTCACAACACAATGAAATAGCTTTGAGATGCTCTAAAGATGTTTTTTCGAAAAGTGGTTTTTTCCCTTGGGTGTCTAAACCGTGAACGGAGATGAAAATTGAAACTTATCAACTTTCAGCAGCCTCCCGGAACCATTCAAGGTTCTGACCCCGATAATTTTTGATCTGATAAAGATAGGCGCTTGGTAATGAGGACCATTTCTGTTCTTCTAAAGTAGGGCAAGCCATTGTAATTAATAATTTTTCAACTGGATTATTGGTAGAGTGAGAAGTGATTTGTGAATTTTTAGGATGAAAAAGAATAATCAGAAAGGTTCAAAAATTAAAATTAACCTAAGATTTTGTTTCCAACCGTTTGCTTTGAATTTATTTGTCGTACTTGGAAACAAAAGGATCCTGGGAAAAGTCTAGGGCAAAACAAAAAAACTTGTTTATTCGAAAAATAAAAAATTTAGTGGACATTCTACCTGATACGCTAGCTATCTCTTTCTAGAGTTTCCTCATTAATTTTTTCTCTAAGTTTGATTGAGAACAAGCAACTAAAAATTAAATGACCCAAATGATAACGAAACAATCAAAGAATGTCACGCATAAACTGATTCATGAGCAGTTCACTGGTAATATAGATTTTATGAGTTTGTGACGATTTTTCATAGTTAGAGTTGTTTTCTGAGCCAAAGATGGCGAATTGGCTAAATCTATTTTTCAAGAAGCTAGAAAAAAACGTTGTTTTCCGTTATCATAGATACTATAAAATTGTTTTGACTATTCATACTTTGTCTAAATGCGAGAGTTTGTTATTTGTTTTTTTTTCAGTAGAAATTTGAAATAAATAGGGCAAAAAAGAATGTAATATATTTTAATTATCAGATTTTCTGAAGGATAAAACAATTTACTCACTGAACCACTTTTCTCAATTCGATAATTGTTATCAAAAACGAGTTAGTCAAAAAACCATCTGAATCTTAAAGAACTTTGAGACTATATATTCTCGTTGCGAGACTCAAAACTTTAAGAACCTCCCAACATGTGCCCCAAAAAGAAGCTATCGAAAATTGCACATGATTGAAATTTCTTCTTTCAACAGAATCATTACAATATAAGCTACCACGAGTAGTGTATTAGTATGAACCTACTTTATGTTCGGACACAACTGGCAAACACGAGTACTCATTTTGTGGCACTTTTTTACTACTCTTGATCTGTATTATTGGAAATTTCATTGTTCTCTGCTTTTTTGTGGCTAATGTTTAAGATTTTTAAGCATGAGTGGCTGAGTGGGAAGGACGTGAGTTTCATTCTCAAGGTTGATGGTTCGATTCCGTCGCGTAGGCAAAGTTTTATTTGGTTGAGATTTGTTTCTACTTTTTTCATTTCACTTTATAGAGCTGCTTTTTTTCGTTTTCTCGCTATTGTTTGAGAATATCATAGTTGCCTCTGTTTCATTAGCAAAACAAATTTGGAGAAGTTTTGTTTCGACTTTTGAAAAAAGGTACAGAACTTTAACATCCGAAATTTTTTTGTCTTGAGCTGAAATGTTGTCTTGAGCTGAATTGTAAAAAAATCATTTGCATTTGACCTGTGTTTATTTTTTTTTCAGGATGGTGGTTTAAGAATGGTTAAATTGAGGGCAATTAATGCGGGAGATATTTGCGCTGTTTACGGAATTGCCGCTTTAGGCTTTGAAGACAACTCGAGCTTAAGGATTTTTGCGATGGTTTTGGAAGACGATCATTGACTTTTCAAATAGAGGATGTAAAACAAGACGATAAAGGAAGCCTCATGAAACTGCGAATTTTTTTTATACAACAGATAGTTTTCGGTAATTAAGTTAGACAAGAAGAGTGCATCAACTTCAGTGAGTGATTTGAAGACCAAAAACTTTCGGAATCATTGGTACATTTGATTAAGCTAATAATGACAGAATTTTTTCGTACCAACCTTTTTACAAAAACTCAAATATAACTAATGAAATCTACTTGCGCGTTTATATTTCATGATCAAATTTGACAGAATCAATAGCTCAACCGATCAAAATTAGTTCTAGTACTGAATCATTTGAAATACAACCATTTGTATAACTGTCTGTACCTGCATCAAATTATATTTAGGCTGTTCGTCAACAGCAAGTGACTTTTATCTTTGCCATAGCTTTAGTCAACACTGTTGACGTGGAACATTATACGTTTCATTTCAGTCACTTTGTTTGGTTGGTATACCAAAGTGCATGTACATTATACTCCCACTTGGTTGAGCATGCAAATGCTATTAAGCGATTCTAGCTTTGGATGGATATAAAAAACGTGCAGTTGACTATTAAATAAAAAAGCATAGTTTCGTTGTCTTACAATGAACGTATTATTGCTGTTCTATTTTCTTGCATGTTTCTGTTTGTTAATGCAATATGGCGAGTGCTGGTTAGCTCAATGTGTGTGAAACTTCTATTAAAAGTCGCTGAATTTGAAATAATCATTACTCGCACCAACAAGTTTAAACTATTGTGCTAGAAACTCATTCTACCAATTGGTTCACAGACAATGCGTTTAAATTAACATGATGCAAAGTTCGCATTTTTATAGAAAAAAAGTAAGCCATCTAATTGATATCGATGACAAATCATTAAAATAGCCACTAATTTTAGTTCTAATTTAAAAACTCGGAAGTTTTATAACTATTTTTATTTGAAGAACCTTTAGCCATTACATCACAATAACGTACAGTAGAATTATAATACTTAAACAGTACTATAGCAATTTTTCGAAAAAATATGCAACAAATTGAGTGGCGCTAAATTTCGTTGAAGGAAGCTATAAGGTATCTTCACTCGATGAATCGTCATTTAGGTGGTGTAAATGAGCTGAACTGAATTGGCCTGAGCCTACCTTCTGGGTGAACTTTATAAAATTGGCTAAACAGCATAATATTACAACCAAGATACAATTCGGCATACATTCAGCTACAACTTTCATATCTTCAAGTCTCACACAAATTACAGTACTTCAGTACAATCAACAGTGATGTTCAAACTGTATTTTTGAATACTTTAGTTGATTCCACTCAGGTGTTTAAAAATCACAACAATCAGGATATCGGACCAAACTCAAGCTAATTTCAAAGTAAATTATTCAAGAATCAGCGTCAAAATTTCCACAATAAGAAACCTATATTCAAATTGAAAAGCCAGATGGCTCCTAGATGATTGCCGATTCCTGGATACCAATATCGATATAAGCAAATATATTAAGTCGTTAAACTGTTTATTCGGGCTTAAAGACTTGAGCGTCATTTCACGCGTTTTTTTGCATGGGGTGAAGTTTAGATAAAGTTAAAATTAGAGGAGATACGATTTAAATAATTCGAGGTCATTTGAGTTCAAGAGTGGTCTTCACAATAGGTTCAACATAAAACTTTACATCAACGTTTATTAAACTATTTAAACAGGACATGTAGCGCCGTCGAAATTGAGTGGAATACATATTATAGCGTTTAAGCAAAATCTTGAAAAAATTGTGCCACTCAAGAATGAACACAAGTGCACCGCAAGTGAGTTCTCTGTCTCAAGTTGGATAGTTCGATGGATGGTTTAGTATATGAGAGTCAGTTCTGTTTGTTGGCGACTGTCGTCTTTCGGTTTACTTGTTCTTGAGTGTGTTGGACATCCAGTCAAGTCCCTCGTACAGACCATCTCCACTAGTCGCACAAGCAGCCTAATCACACACCCAATATAAGAGGTGTAATCATTACTCACAAAACTGCTCAGGTCTTATCCATCAACGCCATCCTCTGCTCACGGCCGAAGTTATAGTTAGGCAAGAAATGCACATGATAAAACCAGGGGCGACTGTTTTTGTTCGACTGTTTTTTTTAGGTCAACCAAATTGATTTTCTGAGCTCTCCCAAAGCAGTAAACAGACCTTGTTATGGCGCCGCAGGCAAAATTTTGGGAAAAAAAAATTTGCGTTTTTTGGAAAATGTTGACCAAAAATCGCGTTTTTTCGGCGCGCGCTCCCCCTTCAAAATTAGTATATATTGGCGCCGGAGGCGCCTTAAGAACCATTTTAGGGTCCGTCACCAAAATATCTATTATCTCAAAATAAAGGCAAGGTGGACCCATTAGGTCGGCAGGGGGTTGAATCACTGAGAGGGGGCATCCGCCCCCCCCCCCTAAATCCGCCCCTGGTAAAAACGAAACAGAATTTTTTATCATAAAAAGGATACTTTTTTGTAATACCCATCATTGACATACAATACCGAATGACTTGTTAATAAACTTGTCATATAGCTGATGCAAAGACTTCTCAGTTGTTTTTGTAATAAATAACTCACTTGGATGTACCAGGTTCGGTTCCTCATACCATGCATACCCAGCTTCTCTGTGATTTCAGCTGCGGTCATTGCATTTGGTAAATCCTACAGAAAACAACGCATGACTTTATTTCATCTGAAAAATCAGCCAGTCTGCAAACTTTTTACGCTTGCGATTGGCAAGTGTTATCAAATCGGAATATATGCATACTTTTTTCAGGTTGAAATATTGCTCAACAAAATCGGTTGAATCATTTGATAGCTTGGTTTATAAAAATACTCGAATTTGTTAGTGCTGTCTGCACATTCGGTCAAGAGAAATTTCATGAAACTTATTTTGTTTTCAGCTCAACAGGATTTTTGCCCAACTTTTCTGAAAACTTATTTATCGCAGGCGATTGTTTCTCGACATGCTGTCCTCAATTTAAAAATCATCTAGTTGTTTAGTTTTTTCTATTTTTTTTTCAATTTTTGTAATGCTATGCAATAATGTCGTTCGTAATGCTGAACAATGATATGTCGGTGTTGTATCTCAATTGGTGCGAATCCCCGCTTCACATCTGTGTACACGAGTCGAATCATAGCTTTTCACTACTTGCGCTGTAAAATTAGAGGCCAGAGTGAAAATTTGTGGAATCATTTAGGGAAATTGTTTCAAAAAATGTTGTAATCAGATAATCATGTTTTCCCTATTTTTAATTTTAAAAAAATTATGAAAAGAAATAAAATCTTCCTAAAATTCTATATCAAAAATAACTCAAACTACATGCGCCATTATAAATATTATCGAAAATCAGATGAGAAAAAATTTTGAATCATCCACTTTTTGCAACTCAACCGACAATAAATAAGCCGAAAAACGATCGCCTGAAAATACAATTTGCAAGCGAAAAAAATTAGCTTGAAAATGATTAATTCCTGGCCAGATTCGAATACTGAACTTTTTCAACCCCAGGCACGGACGTTATCTCAACGCTAAAAGTACAAACAAGACGCTAAACTTGAATTGCTTATAAATCAAGGTATTGAATGATTCGGTGGTTCTTTAAGACAAATATTTTTGAAATATCTATGTGCTGATTTGATAACGCTTGCTAATTGTAAGAGTAATGAAATGTTAAAATGTAACACTTTTCTGCAATTTCAATTGTTAATTTCGGATCACAATGATAGACGGGTCCCTAAAAGTAATAAAATCCCTATGAATAGGGATCTAAAATTCTCTAAACTTCATTTAATTGGAATGAACACATCGAAACATGTCCAAATATAGTTTCAAATGAAGTTTGGGGAGTTCAAAAAATTCGTTGTACAGCTTTATAAAAAAGTTTTTCTAGAGTTCAGTTTTGTTCGTGCGCTTCTTTATAATATTTAATAGTCTCGTCGTGCTTCTTGAGATGTTTCTTTGAAACTTCAAATTTATGGTTTTGTCGCGGGTCTGCTGATTTATTTGAGTCTAGGTTTGTCAATGAGGGTGTCGATGTTGTTTTTCTCGTTGCGTATTGAGTTAAAAAACGGTTCATATTAACAACATAATGATGAGACCTCGACATAAAAAATTTTGTGTAGGATTAAATTTTTTCAGTTTTTAATTGATTTGATTGAAATTATTTTCAGATTGATTGGATAACTTGTATTCTATTTAGTTTCCAAATGATCTAATGCGGAATTTGTGAAATTACAGATCCGGGAGCTGCCTACCAAAAAAGATGGAGCTGTATATATATAGAGTTTACCGTTAACTTTAATGACCGAGTTGGAAAAAATCGTGAAATTAATAAGGAAAAGTTTCAAAATGAATGCTATTAAGAATGAAATTTCTCGCACAGTAAATTAGATATTTTAATAATGTAGTCCTTAAAATATTCAACCAAATCAAGCCAAAACATACTACAAAGCTTTCGTTTAAAAATAAAATTAGAATACGACGTACTTGCTTATTGGCAAAAACCAACAGCACTGCATCCCTCAACTCATCCTCCAGCAACATTCGGTTCAACTCCTCTCTCGCCTCATTAACTCGCTCTCTATCATTGGAGTCAACCACAAAGATTAGGCCTGAAACATTCCAAGATACCCAAACACTACCCTAATTTTATTGAGAGTACTATTCCATTAATTACGAAAGTAAAGGACCTTGCGTGTTCTGGAAGTAATGTCTCCACAGAGGTCGAATTTTGTCCTGACCGCCGACGTCCCATACGGTGAAACTGATGTTTTTGTATTCGACGGTTTCGACATTGAAGCCAATTGTTGGAATGGTCGTAACTATTTCGCCCAATTTAAGCTTATATAGTATGGTGGTTTTACCGGCTGCGTCAAGTCCCACCATCAAGATACGCATCTCTTTTTTGCCAAGCAGGCCTTTGAAAATTTGCGAAAACATACCACCCATTTTGAAAGAATGTCTGAAATCATATTATAATTACAATTAAATCGCTTACGGATGATACCAATTCATTTTTATTTTTACGGATATTATACGCTCAAAATTGCCAAGGCAACAAAAAACCCAAAAGACCGTCGCACAAGTGCCGTGAACTTTCTATTTGCTTTCCGATTGGTTGAAATTTGAGCAGGCGGACAGACTGACAACTGTTTAAACAGCATAAATCAAGCGCAGAAAAAAGAGCCCCGCAGTCGCGCCAACATGTTCCGAGCTTGCCTAGAGAGGGTAGGACTCTACACGAAAGTAAGAGCCGGTTGTTATCCCCAAGCGCGTCTACTGGCGAACTTAAACAGAGAGTCGGTCATCAAAGCCGTTAAAAAAAAGATTTGGGACTTATGCAACTGCTTCTTTATAAGAACTAAGGGACGGAGTTTTCAGTATAATTAATCAGAAGGTCATGTACATGTACTGGTACACAAGTTCAGGCTAAAAAAGGCTAAAGGACTTCGTTCAGGCTAAAAAAAACACGTTTTCAATTTTTTTTTCAAAATCGTCATTTGGATAATTTAAAAAAAGGTCATCAAAAATGGACCCTTCCGTCATGCGACGGTACGTGCACAGGTTGGATAGGGCCGTACCAACGCTATATACATAACCTAGAGAAACGAACACTCAAATGGCCAGGGAGATCTTGGAGAAAACTGAGTTGGACTCTGACGAGAGTATAATCTCCCTTGATGTAAAGAGTCTGTACACTAATGTCCCGCTCAAGGAAGCGGTTGAAATAGCCCTGAGGAGATTATATGAGCAAGTCAACCCTCCGGAAACATCTCGCAAGACTAGGAAAAAACTACTGAATTTGGCAGTGAGTAAGGTACACTTTAAATCAGGGATTGCAATATATTGAATGATCAGATATTGAATAATGAGACGATGTCAATATTGAATTTTTAATATTGAGATATTGAAGGCTAGATATTGATATTGATATTGAATTTTTTGTAGATATTGAGAAAAACGGATTTTGTATCATTGCTACAAAATTGCTACAAAATATCATTGAATGAGAAATTCAAGATAACTCAATGGACTGACTAAGTCAAACAGTCAAACAGTCAACTCAACTCACTCAAGCATTAAAATTAAACAAATTAAACAAAAAACAATTACATTGCAAAAAAAACTAAACAAATTTAATTATATATTTCGAAATTTAATATTGCATTTGGGCTCTGGTATCTTAAAATAGTGATAATATTGAGATATTGAGCTTTTAGATATTGATATTGATATTGATATTGAAATTTCATCCTATTTGATATTGATATTGATATTGAATGGAAGATATTGATATTGAGCTCAATATATTGATATTGTATTGAAATCCCTGCTTTAAATGCCATGGTTTGTGGTATGTACAAAAAGACGGTTTGGCAATGGGCGCCTCCCGTGCAGTAATATTGGCTAATTTGTGGCTCAAAGAATACGAACCTGCATTAAAGAAAGAAGTACCAAAATTGACTGTGCTAACTGAGGGTAACAAGGAAGTGTGCCCTTGATGTCAGAAAAAGGTGACATATCGGACAGAAGGAGTAGAATGCGAAGCTTGTTTGAGTTGGTACCACTTAGGGTGTGGTAACATATCGGAATCCGAATACGCAGACATCGCGGAAACAGTATGGTATTGCATGACTTGCAAAAAACAACGGAAAGCAGATCGGCTGTGAATGGTGTTAAAGTTTTTCTAAAATATGTGGACGACATAGTTAGAACGGTCAAGGGCGATCCTGGGGTAGTTCTCGAGGCTGCCAATAAGTTGCATCCAAACTTGCAGTTCACCATAGAAGAACTCGATAGTAATGGTAATTTCTCCTTTTTGGACTTAAATGTCAACGTGGATTCAGCAAAAAAGGTCACATGTGGTTGGTACCAAAAACCCACTGATACCGGCACCATTCTAAATTTCAGAGGCTGCGTACCTTTGCAGTACAAAAGAAACGTTATTGAAGGGACAGTTCATAGGGTTTGCAGAAGTACCTCAACATGGGAGTATTTTGACCAGGCATTGGAAAAAAATCGGAAACTATGGATTGAAAATCAATATCCAAAAAATTGGTCTGACAGGGTAGTGTTTGAAACTCTTAACAAGATAATTGAGGGAAAGAAAAATTTAGAGGTGAAGGCATCAGAACCGAGAAATGACAAATGGTTGAAAGACTCACCACCGCTTCTTACAATGCAATATCGAGGCAATCCATCTCAACAGTTAGCTGCAAAGGTTCAGCTAATAGCTGGGGCACAAATAATTTTTACAACGAGAAAATTGAAAACATGCTTGCCATCCATCAAAGATTCCTTTGCTCGTGAACTGAGATCCAAAGTGGTGTACAAGCTTACATGTAGTGGATGTAACTCCACCTATGTCGGTCAGACAGTCCGACATTTAGCCACGAGGGTCGATGAACACCGCAAAGGGGACTCCCCAGTAGGACAACACTTGTTAGAATGTAATATGGAGGTAGGCGGTACTGCTGAGCTGAAGTCCGAGATTATAGACCAAACAGCCAACACTCATAAGCTACTGACACTAGAGGCTTTGCATATTTAGAGGGAGAGGCCGAAGATCAACACACGCGATTTTAGACACATTTCAGAGCCTTTTTTAGAGCCTTTTATAACCAGAAAGAACAAAAAACTAAAAAATCTCAGAAATTTACAGGTAAATGTTATTCATGATTACGTAATTATATTATGTAATTACAGTTGTTCAAATTTGATTGGTTAAAAAGTTTTGGAGCCTCTTTAGACACGTTTCTCATTTTTCAGATCTTTGATCGTTTTGTAAACATTGTAAAAAATTTTAATCCTGATGATGCACAGAATGTGCGAAAACGTTTGAATTAACATTTTAAATTTCTTATTGCGATATAATTACATCGGCAAAATTTTATGAAAAAATCAAACCGACTTTAATGCATCCAGAGAATTATCAATTAAAATCTACCCACCTCATATATAGCAAAGATAGAATTGTCTATCTTCGATGTATTTTTAAGATTTTGCACCCCCTAAGTCAGAGGATTGCACTCCTCAGAAGTGCAAAACTTATTTTTGTACTTATAAAATTTATTTTGTCCGAGTATGCTTCTTTCCGTTTTTCGCTTAGTTTCTATGCTAGTTTTTGGACGGTTTTTGTAGAGCATCGTGCTGCTCCTCCGATACACGCAAAAAAATTATTGGAACAAAGCTGCTCTATTCCACATCCAGAATTCTTTGTTGTTATTTTGAAGTTTTGACACTCTCGTGATAAGTGTAGGCGTCAGATATAGTTTTAGGGCAAGATTTAGCACTGTGAGATATAGTTTTAGGGATAATTGTACACTGTCAGATATAGTTTTAGGTCAGGATTTAGCATGGGCGTTGAAAATTTTTACATCGAAAAAGTTTCGGCTGAATCATCCTCCCCAGTCCATTTGCCTTGATGTCAAGTCGAGCATCATCTTCTGTAGGGGTTATTTTGTTGTGAAAGCTTTCGCCTTCCAACGATTGAAGCTTTGGCTCTACTTCAACATCATAGCATACTTCGTCCAGGAGTGTCGCATAGGTATCGCGAATTACATTATGTCTTAGGTGAGTGTATCCACCTTTGGGACGGTTTAGAGAGTGGGTCAGTGTAAACGGTTGTCCACATGGGCATGTATATGAGTGTTTGGTGGTTCCCATCCATATCTCAGATGTAATCCATCATTATCAGTCACCTGCTATATCAGTCACTTGTTCTATCAGTCATAACATATGGCTTGGAAGTATGGAGCGCAGCTGCGCAAACGGTTCTGAGAAAAGTGGACGGAGTTCAAAAACGTGCTGTTCGTATAGGTATTAAAAAAGAATTTGTTCCTATCGAAGAGCATATTAAAGTCAAAGACGCGAGACTTCTGAATAAAATCACTAGAACTGGTTCGAAGCATCAACTATATGACATATTGCCGCATGGGCGCGATTACTGTTCCGAAAGGTTGAAAAAACGGCTACCGACTGCCGAAGTGGCAGTCAAAAAGGTGTATGGATCTATGTTTCATGACAGACTTTCGAGGAAATATTAGAAACTGAAACTCTAAACTAAGTAATTTTAATTACCATTCAAAAAAATTTGAATCTCTGAGAGGTCACGGAATATAAGCGCTATTAGTATGGTTCTAAAACTTAGTTCCCAAATTACTGATTTTGCTACAAACCATTTGACCGGAATGAAGTTTTGAAATCTAATTCTAATTGAAATTCCATCACAGTTTCATCACAGTTTCTTATTTTCGGTATGTCTGATGTTATTTTCAGATGTCAGTTTAATACGTTTCTTCTTCTTCTTCTTATTCTTCTTCTTCTTCTATACTCTGATTTGTTGAGGAAAAAATCAATTTTTTAGGGTTAGCACGCTTAACCAAATCGATGCTCCTTTCTGTGGCACTAGATTTTTTGTCAGTTTTTTTTTCTGATGAGCAATTTTCCATAGTTTTAGCCTTTTTTGAGAGTGTGATGTTCTGTCTCTCAGTTTCGATGTTTTTCATCAGACTTTGTTCCGCTTCTGCTATTTTTGGATCACTGTTATCTAACGAATCATAAATGCCTCGCGAACAGTCATAATTTCTGAAAAAGTCCTTGTTACTAAGGAATCTAATCCTCCCATTCTTGGTGGTAGTGCAAGAAGGCTGCGATCTTCATTGGTTACATGACCTTTACCAGTAATACTAGCAAGTAGCTGCTGTCTTACGTTTTTCTCAAATTCGTCCACACTCTTATTTATATGCTTCCGGAGTTTTTCTACTTAGAATGCTTAATTTATTTTCAACTCCGTTTGTGTAGCAGGAGTACCCATTTTGTGAAGATGTTCTGGCTTTTTTTTTGAAAACGTTTCAGTTGGGGTAGCTGTCTTTTCAATTTTATTTTCTATATATTTATTGCATGCTGATGGTAACCCTAAAACCAATCCAAGGACTCTAAAATTGTCT